CACATAGAAAACCTGTGCCACATTATTGGCTAGGACAAATGGTTCGTCTGCATACGCAAGATTGTTGAGATCCACTGTTGTCATTCCGTACTGCGGGTCTTCCGTTACCCCGCCTCGTGTCATATTGACCCATTTGCACCGAAACAAAGGGACCTATAAACCACGTCGATAGTCAAGTTCCCATATGTCCTGTATATAACCATAATATGTTTCCTTTCCCGTCTTGGTTTCTGCATCAAAGCGGACACCACTGTTTTGGTTGGTGCTCTTCTTATCTTGGGCGATCGTGTAAAATGTATTACCATTTATCTCGTACCCTTTGAAAGTCATTATATTTGAAGATGGTAACTGGGACAGCAAGTACAGGTCATCTTCAATAGAGGTGTCATGCATGGTACGTGTCTGCAACCAGTTGGCGAAACTCCTGGTTTGTTCACGTGTAATCCAGTCATCAGACCGCTCCGGGTGTTTGGAGCGTAGCAAATTCTTGTGTTCATCCATATACGGAGCCACCAAGGTGGAATTCTGTAGAACTGTGTAGTGTGCTTCAGTGAGAGAATGTCCGTCCATACATATTATTTGTTCCCCTCCTAGCGTGCCTTTTCCATCCAGTCTGCCCTTATGCCGCGATTCAGGAACACCAATCGGCTTAAGGTCAGGAATAAAGTCACTACAAAACTCAATGACCTCCTCATTTTGACGGCCCTTGGAGATGCTTCCTTCTGGCCTAGCACGATTATGAACATATTTCTTTAAGACTCCCATGAACCTCTCAAAGGGGAACATATTGTGTAGAAATATAGGACCCAAAATGTTAATCTCTTCGCATAGGTGAACTAGGACGTGCGTCATGATGTTGAAGAAGGATGGTGGGAACACCAACTCGAAACTGACAAGACATTGCACCAAATCATTCTGTAACCTTGGTATGATTTCTGGATCGATTACCTTCTGAGAGATTGCATTGAGAAATGCACGTAGCTTTACAATGGCTAATCGAACGTTTTCCGGTAGAAGCCCCCTCAATGCAACCGGAAGCAGTTGCGTCATAATCACGTGGCAGTCATGAGACTTTAGGTTCTGGAACTTTTTCTCTGCCATGTTTATTATTCCCTTTATATTCGACAAGAAGCCAGACGGTACCTTAATACTGAGCAGGCATTCACAGAAGATTTCCTTCTCTTCTTTGGTAAGAGCGTAGCTTGCATGACCCTGATGTATGCCGTCTTCTCCGTGCATATGTTGCTTGTCCTCCCGTGCCTCAGGTGTATCTTTTGTCTTCCCATACACGCCCAAGAAGCCAAGCAGGGTCACGCAAAGATTCTTCGTCACGTGCATCACGTCGATTGCGGAGCGAACCTCTAGGTCTTTCCAATATGGCAGGTCCCAAAATATAGATTTCTTCTTCCACATGGGTGCGCGTCCGTCCGCGTCCTTCGGAACAGATTGTCCGCCAGGACCCTTTCCAAATATCACCTTCAAATCCTTGACCATATCATGTACATCAGCACCAGTACGGTGGCGAGGCTTCGTCCGGTTATCCACCTCACCTTTGAAATGCTTGCCTTTCTTTCTTACGGGATGCCTGCTCGGAAGAAATCGACGATGTCCCAGGTACACATTCTTATTACAACTATTCAAATATATATTGTCGGTATCATCCAAACAGTGCGTGCATCCGCGGTATCCCTTGTTTGTCTGTCCTGAAAGGTTACTGAGAGCAGGCCAATCATTGATGGTCACGAACAGCAACGCCTTTAGGTCAAATTCTTCCCCCATGTGCTCATCCCATGCACGTACACCTGTTCCATTCCACAGTTGTAAGATTTCTTCAACTAATGGCCTTAGGTACACATCAATGTCGTTGCCGGGTTGCTTAGGGCCTTGGATGAGCACTGGCATCATAATGAACTTCCGCTTCATGCACAACCAAGGAGGAAGGTTATACAAACATAGAGTCACAAGCCCGGTGCTATGGTTGCTGCTCTGCTCCCCAAAAGGATTAATGCCATCTGCGCTTAGACCAAACCATATGCTCCTTGCGTCATCTGCAAACTCCTTCCCGTACTTTCTTTCGATTTTTCTCCACTGCGACCCGTCAGCGGGTACTCTCAACTTTCCGTCTTTCTTACGGTCTTCTCTGTGACATCGCATCGCCTTGGCATGCTCTTTGTTTTGGAACAAACGTTTCAACCGTGGTATTATAGGAGAATACCACATCACCTTGGCAGGAATCTTCTACCTGGGGCGCTCGCCCTCGACATCACCAGGCTCATCGCGGCTGATCTTATAGCGCAATGCACCACATACCGGGCAAGAGTTCAAATCCTCGTACTCACCACGGTAGAGGATGCAATCATTAGGGCATGCATGTATCTTCTGCACCTCTAACCCTAGAGGGCAGACAGCGTTCTTTGCTTCGTACGTACTCTCGGGCAATTCGTTGTCCTTTGGAAGCATATCCTTTATCATTACCAGCAACTTTCCAAATCCCTTGTCAGATACACCATTCTCTGCCTTCCATTGCAGCAATTCTAGTGTGGTGCCCAGCTTTTTCTTGTCACCTACGCAATTCGGGTACAACAATTTTTTGTGATCCTCTAACATGCGCTGCAACTTCTTCTTCTCCAAATCACTTGCGCAGTTTCTCTTTGCATCGGCAATGGCCCGACCTAGATCATCAACGGGCTCATCTGATGCCTCTTCTTCAGCTTCTTCCCGCATTGCCGGCTCAGCTTCTTCCCGCATTACTGGCTCAGCTTCTTCCCCCATTGTTGTATCATCGTATTCAGGGAACCCATGGCCAGGATAGCTGTCGTCGTCCTCTTCTTCTTCATTGTCTTCCATCATAACCCCTCTTTCTCCGTGTTTGGTCCAAACATTATAGTGGGGCATGAAACCGTACTAAAACAGGTGGACGTGAATGGTTCTTGACGTAGAGTAATTGCGACCATTCTTACAGCCAGCACATGGACAAGGCATAAAACCATCCGCCCGCTTGTTTGCCTCAGCCGCAAGCAGAAAAGTATGCACGACCTCAACAAACTGGGGAGAGCATCGGTCATCGTACATCCATTGCCGGCTCATCTTCATTACACAACACCGAATAGACCAAATTAATACAAGTTCATACATAAAGTTCATACAACACTTAAATGCAACAAACAAATAACTCTCTAGCTAAAGCATTTAAATGCAACAACAAATGCGATCAAGATCGCAACTAAGGTAACAATTGATCCAACAGCATAATGATACCAAGCCTCACTATCGATGGCATATTTTCTAATCTTTCTATTCTTCAAGCGCATTTTCTCCATCTTGATCTTGTGATCATCGACGACATCGGCAACATGCAACTCCAATTCCATCTTCTCCCCCTCAATTCTTTTCAATTTTTCTTTCAAGTACTCATTTTCTCTTTCAACTAAATTTAACCTCTCGACAATAGGGTCGGTTGGAATTTCCGGTTCACATACATCCTAGATAAAAATATCTATGTCAACTTGATGGGCATAATTTGTCATAAACACGAAATGCAACAAATAGTTTTAAAAGAGAATATACCACATTCGAATCATAACAAGGACGAGGGCCGACGGGGACGGATATCAAAACCATGGCACTATGTATAACAAACAACGTACGGGTAAGATAATTATTACATGATTAACTATATATCCAAATCACACAAACATCAATTTTTTATATAAAATTTCATGAACAAGCGGCTCACCACAAGGTGGTGCTGGTGACGGGACGGTGCGGGCGATCGACGGTGGTTATGACGGAGATTTAGAAGGCACTAAGTAAACCACACCTACATATGCAAACTAAGTATTATTTTTGACCTCAAATTGCATATAAATCAAATACTAGCACATATATATATTTCCTCCCAAATTACTAAACTCACAAATTAGTAACTATACAAAGCATGGGAAGAGCTAATCTAGCAATGAGAGATGAAAGGACAAAGTTGCTAACCTTTGTGATCACTTGAATGGATGGGGGCCTTCACATCTTGACAAATTTTGGGCAAAATGTGTGATGAGCTCGAGGGGAGGAGAGGAAGAACAGAGAGGAGAGGAGAGGGGAAAGGGGGAAGAACAGAGCGAGCTAGATGAAGGGTTTATATGCAGGAGGACCTATAGTACCGATTCGTGGCACGAACCGGTACTAAAGGTGCTGGAGGGGGCCCAGACTGACAACATCCTGCCACCACCCTCATTAGTACCGGTTCGTGGCACGAAGCGGTGCTAAAGATTAGCCACGAACCGGTACTAATGAGAGCGGCCCGGCTAGCCGTTGGAACCGGCACTAATGTATACAATTGTGCCGGCTCTAATACAAACCGGCACTAATGTGCTGCACGTTTGACCCTTTTTCTACTAGTGGGTAAAGCTCAAAATCTCTAAAAGACTAAAGGATATTATTTGCATAAAAGTGATTTAGGGACATCATATGTCACCCCCAAATTTTGGTGGGATTTTTAAATGAGTTTATCAAAGGGTTGCAGTGCAAATGGGACCTTAAAACTTTATGAAAAACTATCTTAGAGAAATAAAGCTCGGGGAAAAATAATTATATAAATAATCCCACTGATAAAAGAATTGTTTTATTTGAGAGGGTAAACAAGTCCAATAATAATTGGAAAGTTTTTACTTGGGGTGTAAACTCCACAACCTAGAAGAAAAGAGAGGTTCTGAGATCAAAAATAAATCCAGAATAATGAAAATTTAATTTCCTGGCAAAATTTTAATAAACAAAACATGGTTAAATTTTTGGGGTGTTACAATATACTAAACATGACGCCCTCGCAAATCCAAGTTACATTAATTATAGCATGAATCATCGATTGTTTCTTTATTTCCGCACAAATGTAGTATCTAGTATATTTCCAATGACTAAATGCCGCCCGCATGACATCTTGCACACAAAGTTCCAGATAATATTACCAATATATAATTGAGAAAAATGATTAAATCTACTTCATTGTATCATATATATAGATAAGAGGCCAACCGTGGTTGAGCTTGCAAAACAAGGGGTTCAAGTAGGGCAATGCTTGCATTGCCTTCCTGCAGACTGATATTTTTAACGCCTACAGGTTTTGTCCAAGTGAAGGCCTGCAGCATCCTTGCAAATAACATCATTGTGATCGAGGTACCAAGTGAAATCCCAGGACAACCCCTTCTCCCACTGCTAAAAGAAATGAAACGTAGGCCTGGCTTAGTGAGAAGAACATTCACGGTATTCAAATGCCTCTCAGGACGAAACTCAAGTGGTTCGCTCCAGATCTTGGGGTTTCGGCCAAGTCCAAGCCGGCTTAAAAGGATGTGGCTATCCTTTGGGATGGTGTAGCCGGCGATAGTGGTGTCCACCGTTGCAACATGGGGTAAATTAAGAGCATGGTATGGGTGTATGCGGAAGGCCTCCCGGATACACGATTTGAGATAATTTAGCCGAGGAATGTCAGACTCCTGGACTAGTCTATCTTTACCAACAATAGCGTCGAGTTCATCTGTCACTTTTTGCATGATCTCCGGCCTGTTCATCATCTCGGCGAGCGCCCACTCAACCGTTGATGTGTTGTCGACTGCTGCAAGCACCATTTCCTACATCGGTCGATTTTGGAATAAATAAAGCAATATATACAATACAAGAAAAAAAGGTCAAAGCGTGTATAATATACTCCTTCCGCAAAGAAATATAAGAGCGTCTAGACTCTTAAATTTCTTTACAGACGTAGTATGCTTAAAAATAGTGAATGAACTTTCTGTTCAGGTAGATCCTACTAACCGCTGTTTGGGCTCTTATTTCTTGTAGGGATAGCAACGGTTGTCCCTCTGCATCTTTACGATGAACTAGGACATCCAGAAAGTCTCTCGCCCCTTTATCTTCACCACCTTTCTCAAGAGTGGATGACCTTTCATGGATCCGTTCCCGTATGATAGGGTCATGCAACTGGTTAATTGTTCTCATGACATCCATGGAAACCTCCTCATGGCCATCCAAGTCGAGGCCTACCAGGGCTGGGATGTAGTCAGACACACAGAAGCTGTACACATGGTTGAGGGCCGTGAAAAGAGCGGGAACATGTGCCTCCTCCTCATATCCAGGTCCATTAGTCGACGAAGATTGTAGGTAGCTAAAGTATCTCTTACCGAACACAAGCCTTCTTATCAGGTTCAACAGAAATGTTGTGCCACATGGCGCACGTTAACAATGTTTTTTCCATGTGGCATCTTGCCACAACAAACGGTGTTGTTAATGTACCTTACAAGGTGGTCATACTCCTCCTTCCATAGGTGGTGGAGCTTCTGCTCCATGGACGAGGTGAGGATCTCCAAGGTGAGGACGCGCTTCATCTTCTTCCACTGCTCTCCTTGCGGTGACAAGACGGAGCCCCTGTACCCGAAGCTGAATGTACCCGAGGCGAAGGTGGTGGGACGGGAGGCGAAAACTTCATCCTTCTTCCGTAGTACCTCACAGGCTATCTCCGGGCATGTCACAACAATGACATGAGTAGCTCCGAGATGGAGGCACAAGATGTCTGTGTTCATCTCCTTGAGAAGGCGATGGATCCACCGGAACACTGCCGGTTTGTTCCAAACCATCTGGTGCATGTTCCCAATGATGGGCAGTGTAGCAGGCCCCGGTGGCAGCAGATCTCGTCGTGCTGGTTGCCGCTGGGACAATACCACTCTTTTGCTTTTTCTGAGACAATACACCAGCAAGGTAGCCATGCCCATGATAACCAGCGTACCAAGAGTCATACTGCATGAGCTGGTCAGGATGCTATATGCCTATATGGACTAGAATAGATGGAAAGCTGTGGAATAGATAGGTTGGGGGTGACAAAGGGGTGTTTTAAGACTTGTGTTCGAAGGCACTCTTGCTTGGTGCATCTAACTTGGTTAGCTCTGGGTATTTGTAGGACATCCGGGGAGCTAGCTAGCTTGGCTGCAGTTCCTCCACGCGGTTCCATGCATCGTGGACGTACTCGCGTTCATATAATTAATTTGATAATTAGAGATATACTTCAGTTTGATCATCTTTGTAAATTTTTCCATCCGATATCAGAAAAAGCCTCTGCATGCTGAGGTAGTTCATATGGTGTCCTTTATCCAGACCTTTTCTCAGGTATAATTTCTGGATTTACTGCAAAACGGTTGCCTAAGCGATTATTGGTCTGTTTATTCATCCCTGAATTACACTTGCGTCATGCGTGGCCTGCATTCCTTGGAGATCAGATATTATGTCTTCTTTCACTGTCAATTTGTCCTAGTAACCAGTGGCGGAGGGTCTTGGTGACCATCCCGGTCCCCTCGCCTCTAGTAAATCTTTCGGCCTCTTTAACGTTTCTAAGTGTTTCCATTGGCACCTCAATAAATTGCTGCACGCTCCGCCACTTATGTAACAACAGTACTGAATTGATTCGACGGTGGAGGTCAGCCTCAGTCTTGATTTGTAATCTTGCACTGGGGCCGGGTTTCTTGTGGGTGTCCATCGACCCGTACATTCACTGTCTTGGAGCCATTCTCTTTTCCACACACGCATTAGCACCAGCTAGCACATGCTGCACGAGTGTCTGGTTTATAGCTAGTTTCAGTTTTTCCATGAGCGTGCGAAGATGTTGACGAGTTACCAACGCTCAAACCGCGAGCGAGCGGCATACTACGACTAATCATTGATTAGTTACACGTGCATATTACACGGCGGACAAGCAAATTTTGCAATAGGACATCTCGAATAACTGTAAGGGCATGTCCAACGATGACCCGCAAACCGCACACGAATCCGTCAGCGGACAGGGAGGATTAGTCCGCGAACGATGCAGGAGCCAGCCACCCAAAGAGCTATCCACTATCTATCCGCCAGTAAAGGGCAATTTGAAATTCAAATAAGTGTCCATAGCGCGTGCTAGATCACCTTGGATAAAAGCGGCGGCGCCGCGTTGACATCGATGATGAATGGCACATCGGATGCCGGGGACTGCCTGCCCATCTACTTGGCTGCGTAGTAGTATTGAGCCTTTTAATGCTCCGGCCATTGCGGCGTCCGCATGGTCAGCCCCGACCTCTACCATGTCCGTGACCTGCACGCCCACCGCCTCGTCCGCCACTAGCACACCCGCCACCGGCCATCTGCTTCTTGAGCTTTCCCTCCTTTGTGGCCTTAGCTTTGACGCGGCGATTACGCTATGTCGCCGACTTATCTGCCGGGCGAGCGTGATGATCGGATCCTCCACCACCTCCATCTCTATCAGAGTCTCCTTCGGGCCCATGGATCAGCGGTGGGAGAAATGAAGAGAATGGGGAAAAGGGCAGGAATTTGGTGCAGAGCGGCGGGATGGAAGAAGAGAGTGGGTGATTTTGCGGCGAAAATAGTGCGACCAACTACAAAAGCGCGGCCTCCGCCTATGTTTTTGGTGGGTCGGAGGTGTCAGAGTCCTATGTGGCTCATGTCCAGACTCAGGCAAAGTCCCCTAGTTTGTTTCTACTTTGCGGGAAAAATTATGGTCCGGACTTCTGCGCGGACCGATGTGGGTCGGCGTTGGATGGCTTGCGTGGTTCACACAGTTGCGTCTGGATGGATACGGGCGGTTGGAGGGTCGGTGTTGGAAATACTTTAAGATAGATGTTGGTAGATTTTGTCACATAGGATTTTTACGATATGTCATACAGTGAGAGTAAGGGTTGTATATATGTGAACCAACAACTTTGCACAAGTCATTGAAATTATTAGGATTTTATCGCATTTATTGTTTCCAATAATTCCTGTGGTATCTCACAGATCCAAAGACAAATTCATGCATGACAATGGAGTGTGAAAAGTTTAGTGCCACCCCAGTTGTGATTGATGGTGTGTTTGACCCACATATATTATAGGTTGACTTTCAACACCATTAAGATGTTGAGAAGAGCACATATGCACGCTACTCCTCCGCTGCCGCTCGCATCGCACACACGTCGTGTTTCGTGATTAAGCTGAGCAATGCCAAACTAGCACAAAAGACATGTGTACGTGTTTTTGATCTTTTTATCACGAAATAAAGATGCCGAAACATTTTCGCACTAGTGAAAAAGGAGCCTAAATGGTTGTGGCTGTTTCACTCCATCTCCTCTTTGTCTCTATAAGTGTAGTTTTCTAGAGTCTATTAGAGGTTGCTTCTCTTCCACCAACACTGCCACTTCAGTTTCAGAGCTTTGTGCCACTTATAGTGCTTTCCCATTTGGCTTCTCTGTATGTGCTGCGATGTGACAACATGCCTCCGAAACACTGACTCTTGTGATCATGTATGAGAGAGGGGCGTTGAAGTTTTTTGGGATCGTTCTTGTGTGACTTCTAGATTCTTCTCCATCATGGATGTGCACGACCACTTCCCCGACACCGACAATCTCTTCGGCGACATGGCTACTGACACAAATTCTTCTTCTTTCACCACACTCTATGTGTTCTTCTCCCTCCAACTAGGGACTGTGTTTGGACTTTAGACTATACTAGGAATAGACATTGATACGATGCTTGTCGCTTATTTACCCAATTGCATGATTCAGTACTTTGTTATTGGGACCAATTATCATTTCTATTATGATTGTCATGTTTGGTCTATTTTTTTGCATTAAACTTAATGGGAAATAGCTCATATATTCAACAATCCAAAAACCTGATTTGGTTAGGAAGTTTTCTCCAACTGCTTTTGCCGCAACCCTCAAAGCTCCCACGTCCAAGGGTGTGAATTACAAGAGATGGCATGTCAGGGTAGTTCTTTGGTTAACCACCATGAACATGCTTCCAAGGGCATACCAGAGGGACCACTTACTCGCAAACAGATCAAGTTTTCCAGGCTACAGACACCTTCTTTGCATGTGTTGTTTTCAGTGTTGTTGGCGACAAGATTTTTGATCCCTCCATGACCATTATGGTAAATTTCCTATTGATTCTTTCAATATGTCATTCTTCTGCTTAGTAGATTGACATGAGTGCCAATATACATGTGTGTTTTGGTATCTCCATGTTTTCTTCTTATCAGGTCACAAGGACTGCAGCCGTGCTGATGGGAAACATGTCATATGCTTTTGTTCATGGTGTTGGTACGGTTGATCTAAAGTCTACTATGGGAAAGAACATTCACCCGTTACAACTTAGTCCTTTTTAAAGTGCGGGAGTCCAACGCCGAAGCTCATAATATTGCTAAGTATTCCCTTTCTCTTGATCATGGTTACCACTTATGGATTGGACAACTGCATGGCTCCTATGGATCCCTATGTTTGTTAATGTTGATCAACAAAGCTTGAGAAGTTCTGAAAAAGGCTTTGGATGAAAAAAGCGATGCATAAGTTGAATGAATGCAAAGTAACTCACCAAAAGTAGGAGAAAAAAATTGAACTAAAGTACATGAAGTGAAGGCCGAGGAACGAGATGTGGGGGCACCAGGAGGACATTGACAAGGAGGAGTGAAATGATGGACGGCAAGAAGGCCCATCGTCCTTGGACTCTTCTTTATTCCCCTTTTATGTTAATTTTCACAGTTTTCTCTTTTGTATATGGACTGTTGTTGAGGCTACAAGGCCCAAGGTCACTTCAAACACCCCGCTTATGACACTCTATGATTCAATTTGATGACCAACCACACGTGCATGAATTCTGTGGGCTGGCCCAGTTCAAGCACCTGTATTGTTCTCCTCACTTCATTCGGTTTTTCAATGGTTGTGTCTTGTTTTTTTTCTTCCTGTTTTCAAATGGTTTTATCATATTTTCTATGTTAGATTTATTCCCAAAATATGCAAAAAAAAATCATGAATTAAAAATTCTTACATTAAAAAATGTTCTTGAGTTTAAAAAATGAATACGAATTCAAAAAATGCTGACTAATATTTTTTCAAAAACCAGAAACTTAGAAAATATTTTGGTATTTTAAATATGCTTGTTTACTCAAAAAATTATGACAAAATTTTAAAAAGTGTATGAATTTAATAAATACTCACAAATTGAAAGATGTACATGTATTTGAAAATTGTCCCGAATATTTATATAAAGATAATTGAAAGATATACATGTATTTTATATATTCATGCATTTATGAAATTTTAAAGGATTTACATCCGGTCGCTAAATAAAAATTATTTGTGAATTTTACGGAATATTCTTGAATTATAAAAAAGGTAAAAAAAATAAAACCAAAAAACAAGTAAAAACAAAAAAGGAAAAATGGAGAAAGAAATAGAAATGAGAGAAAGGAAAATTTCATTATATATCCAACCAAAGAAATGAGAAAGTCAATGAATGAATAACTACCAGTTAGCCTACTTGGGGTGGTCCAGTAGTTGGCTTTGCTCGACATGTTCACACAATGTGTATCAAATAGGAAGCCCTCCCCTAAAAAAAGGAAGTCCATCGTCCAAAAAGACCAAAGGTATGGGCAAACAAAGCCGAGCATTACCTTCCATCGTCCAAAAAATGGAAGAATAATGAGGGAGAGGATTGGGCCAACGTGCTAAAGACCCATGAGCCGAAATAGGATGGTCGGTCCCCTCGAGACGTCCTATCTGCCCCTCTTTGCGAGTGATTGGCGGGGAAACACACAGACGGTCGGCCAACTCATGCACACAGTGAAGCTAGCGGGAAACAAGGCACCGTAGTAAAACCGGACGGACACTGTCACATATTCAACTTACTACTGTAGCAAACAGGAGCGAGGCACTATAGCGAATTGACCTTATTTACTGTAGTGATTTTTTAGGAAAACAATTGACAACTAGCTTTGAAAACA